ATCTGTGAGAACATTTTGACAGATGTCTTTCGTTTCCTGAACTGATAAAACTTATGCCCCTTTACCCTAGCACCGGTAAATACCTACCGTATAGACTTAAAGTTAAAGGCACAATGTTAGTACGTACAGACTGATACACAAATTACCTGCATACAGACATGTACGAAATATCAGGTCTTGGCTGAAACGTTATGATTTATCACTTTAAAGCCGAGTGGTAACTATATGTTCCAGCTGCTTCTCAATTCGAAACTCTGAATTTTGTATTCATGTGTTTTTGTGTGGTTCTCGGTGCAAACAGGGATTATTTCCTCAAACAGTATTAACCAGTTGATCTTTACAATGGTGAGGTATTTATTGTCTTTCCTTTGTGGCACGGACTGGGTTCTTAAGCAGAGTTTAAATTTTCAAGACAATTTTAAAGTACACCTAATAATCCAGAGCGAGGACAAGAAAGGAGTGGGATGTTGGGTCGTGCAGTTTGGTAGAAATTGACCGAAATGTCGGTAAGCCTACCAGATTACACGGCGTAACATCCAAGAAGACAGTATAACCTTCATATTAGCCGTCGTGAGAACCTGAAATCTCGCCCTGCTCAAGATGCTCGTACTCTCGGCGAAGCAGCAATAATTTTGCAGCATCGGCGAATACAGACTTCGTGTTGTTTATTATTCGGCCTCCTAATAGTCAGTTGTAACCGGTCTTTACCGGACATACTCCTCGTGTGTTATGCGATGGTAATGAGGCTGCTGATAACAGTGGCAGAGCGACCTTTACTTTGGATCACTGAATGAATGCGCTTCGCTTCATTTAGTGCCTTATGACGGGCCAATCCTTCGTCTAGTGAGTCCTGCCAAATGTTGAAATAGGTTGGAAAGCTGATAAGAAATTCTTCAGAAAGGCCAAGTCCGCCAAGAATCTGTAACGCCAATGTAGTAGCTCTGTATCACAACAAAGACGAATGTTTGTGTCGTAAGAAACAGACGTAGCGACCTCAGGACATAAGAGCTCTCATACAGATAGCCTTTGGCCCTTGTCCAAATTGAGTACACAGTAACTGAGAGTTCAGGAGCAATTAATAGGGCGTAGGCAGAGCCAGTAGATTTTTTTTTCTCAATGGTAAACTGAGCCAAGTTTAACTCCAGATTATAAGCTGTGGTAGATTATTTCATGTACACAATTATTTCGCGTGCTGAATATCAGGTTGCCTTTCCCGTGGTGTTTGACGCCTTGGATGATCTTCGTTCCACCTGCGGGTCTCGTATTTTGAAATGCCGAGACCCGGCCAACTGGGCCACGTTTCATTGGCCTGAGTCCTGTAAGACATGCGCCTTGTACACACAAGCTGTTTGATTTGTACAGACATGTACATGTGACTGAGAAATGAGCAAACACAATCCAATCAAGATTTTATATAAGTCATTTCTACTCAAGAAATCACAGTAATTACAGATCACCATTGTATGGTACCGTGAGAAAGCTTTGTGGAATCTTCATATCGTTTATTACTATTATTCCATTTATTCACTATTTTAAAGAGTATTTACGTACCTGAGAAAAACCTTGCCCCTGAGGTACATATTGCAGCAGCTATTTCTTAAATAGATTTTGTTTCTTTTAATACGAATTACATGCATCATACAGATTTCGCATGAGGCATTATATATTTTACATCAGCGTCTTTCGAAATATGTATGATGTTCCTAAACTGGCGGATTTCTGAAGTTCCCTGATGTCTTGATTACCCGGGATGTTGGCCAAATAATTTTTGAGTGACTTGGAGACAGTTCCAGTTGCTCCTATAATTATTGGAATTACTTTTTTGTTTACTTATTAGTGTTGTTGTTGTTGATACAGCACACTAATAATAAAGAACTGAATTGAATTATGTTTTATTGTAATTTTTGAGCACATAAATAAAGTGACTGAAATGAATTATTACTACGATTATTTTTATCTTCTGTTCCTGTCATATAACTTACATAACGATTAAGCAAATACGAAATACACCGTCGTGTGCTACGAAGAAGCTTATGTTTTGTTTACCGTTTGTTCTATGCGGCAGTCACATGGTGCAGAAGTATTTTCCAATGAGCGGAGGAGTCTGCTCTTATCTGGGGACTTGCAGTCTCCACCACTACCTTAGTGATAAATAATCATTAAACGAAAATTAGGGTTTCACGTGCATCCCCCGCAGAACACGAAACAGTAATTAAGAACTTCGTGACGCCATTTTCTTTAAACCGACTCAGAAAAGGAAAGAAAAGTACTGTAACTACGTTGTGTTTAGAATTATAAAATAGCTTACATTAGTTAGGTAAATCAAAAAGTAAATCTGTCCCGCTACACGCCATGTGGGCGCTTGTGGGAAGAGAAGGTACGAGTTACTCATTCTTAGCGTCAGCGTCACGCCCCTGACGGGGATCGCGCCCAGGTCGTCCAGTCCGTAGTCTCTCACTAAACTGGCTGAGCTACCCGGACTCTAATATTTATGTAGCCTACTTTTTCCATGTAACCAACTTTGTAAAATAATGGCTGCGTCTTGTTAATGTATTGCAGTAAAACCTGGAAGACAAAGTATTAAAAAAACAGAAAATGAACAAATTCTTAAGATCTGTAAACGGATGCACAAAATTGGATACACTGAGAAAGAGAAAACTACAAAAGAATTGCATACAGTTTATTCAATACTTGACAAAGTTGCTTGGTATGGACAGAATTGGGTAGCTCACTTGTCAGGAATGAACTGAGCAACAGCACTTCAATATAACCTGGATGGAAAGAGAAATGTGGGAAGACCAAAAAAGGGATTAGGCTCGGACGCCGAAATAAACACGAATGCCTTATCCCCAAAGTGAAGAAGTAAAACAAACAACTCCATGAAGCAAACTCTGATTGTGAAGAAATTAACTGTAGGTTCTTAATAGAATTCACAATAGCCCGACCCTGGACACTATTCTGATAAATCCAGTTCATAACATACATCCCATTCCTTTAGAAGCACTTTAATGTTGCCCTCTCACCTTATCTCAAGTTATCTCTCCCCACCAGATTTTCTACTAAAATTTTGCAGGCATCTCATTTGTGTCTCATGCGTTCTACATGCTTCGCCCATTGCATACTCTTTGACAATTTGATGAAGGCGAGAGGTTATATTCCCGCTCCGACCGCTTTGTCTCTGGAAAAGAGACTTCCGATACCTATTTAATAAGAAGTCGAGTGGACCCTGTATCCGACATGGCATTGTAGAGGATCGAACACCAGCGCATCCAGAAAACCACTTTTCTGACAGCTGTACTGGTTACTTGCTGAAGCAAGAAGAAACTCAAAGCGTAAATGAAGCTTTCAAATACAACGTCACATGATTTGCTGTGAGTTCCTTTCAATTGAATTCATGCTGACACATTGTCCAACTCATGTCTGACCTTGCACTAAAACGTCTGTTATAAATTCGCAGGGAAAAAATTACTCGAGTCGTGACGGAAGCTACAGCCAGCGGACATCGCTTCTTGTAGGTCTACATGCCCTAGACACTCATCATCTAAAACAATACTAAACTGACTGAACAATGTTCCTTTGATCGATGTTATTTTTTTAAGCAGTTAAAAATACCATTAACAAAGTTTAGATAACTTCCTACATCTACATTTCTTGAAATGCTTCCACCGAGACAGAGAAATTAGTGGGACTTTTAAGTAAACAATTGTATTAGTATGCAATTTATCTTTCGTTACGGAAAGTTCTTCTCTTATAGATATTTAATACCTGGACGTTTTTAGAGTTCATCTCAAAGTTTTTAACCGTATAAATTTGTTTAATCTTTAGAGGAAATTTTGTTATAACTTTAATGTAATAAACTGACACAGGCTCTTAATTACTGCTAATGTACAGAAAAGTTAGAAGCAACTTCGAGCTAGTAAGGTATTTTTATTTGTTTATTATTCTTTATTTATAGTTCATTTAACAACGCTTTTTCATTATCTCAGACTATATACTAGTAGCGTCGAATGAGAGGATGATAGCGAATAATGAATTTAAAAGAATGTTAAAGGAAGTGGTCGTGGCCTAATTTAATGCACTAGGGACTTAATAAAACTGTGGAAACTCCCAGACAGGATAGCCGGTATTCAGACCTAGACTTGGAACCGGGATCTCCCGAATACGAAGTAGACGTGTTAACCACTCGACCACGACATTCGGTCATATTTTTATTACATGTATATATATATATATATGTTTATATTATGAACAAAATTAGGTCTACGTTAAAAGAATTCGCACATCCTTTAAAGAAAGACATGACATAATATTTCAAGAACTATAATTATACGAAACAAATGTTTAGCTTATACCTTGGATGTTTCTAGGAACACCATGTTGATATAAGACGGCGAGAGTCATTAAACTATGAACTTGGATAGTTTATAATGTCAAAAGCCATGAAAATAATTCATTGCTTCAAACGTTATCAGTTAAGGATACATATACACGGGGACTTAATACAATAAACCTCAGTTACAGTAATCTATAAATTACAAGGCAATTGTAAAAAAATTGCTGCTATCATAAGCTACATACTTCCTGTTTAAAGAATATAAACTTTACGTGTAACCGTAAGCGAAGTACCTTAACAATTTAAGACAAATCGTTTTTAATGGCACGTGAGCAAATTTAAGTGGGGTTTAACGCAGCTGAGGTGGCAAGGATTTCCACGCTCCTATACTTTCGGCACTAGACGGAGAAGAGTGACCAGCCTCACGCTCTGATCGCTTTATCCCCGGTGAAAGGCGCTGTGGTAAACACTGAACAAGAGACAGAATGGGTTCCACAGTTATCGTGGACATGATGCGAAGTAGGAATGAATGTTTGTGCCGAGAATCGAATACAGAAAAGAGAGCAGTTCTATTTAAACCTTTGACCTCTAATGTCAGCGTAATATCACAAGTAATTAATAGTTCAATACCATGGTAGCTTGATTAGCACTACAAACAAATCATTAAAATCAGGAGTTGGGGTGACGATTGTTAGTAGTCGCTGGGAAGTGAAGTTATACGCACAAGGTCCAGCAAGTCACAAGAGCAGTCTGTTCAAGGTTTGGGGTACTTGATTTGTGGTGTAAGTCACGAAAGTAACTCGTATTTACAAAGGGACGTTGTTCCTGTCGTTCACAAACAATCGAGAATGTTCGACTTCCTTGGGTGTTACACGACATTTTACAGCAGAATATATCAGACTTATAAGTGTGTGTCATATCTGTAATAAAACAATCAGAAGCTGTCAACGTTTGATTTACATGACATCAATGCTCCTGACATTTATATGTGAAAATCGCATGTTCTTCGCGACAGTATTTCTATGGAAACAGCCTTGAAATAATTTCCCTTAATCTTTCCGAATGAGACGAATGCCGGCAATCTACGTGTGTTGTAATTTTGGCAGTTGTATTTTAAATGGAATCTCCTCTCAATAACGTGTTTAGTCCTAGTTTTGAATTTCATTGGCTGGAAAAGACCAATTAATCTGTCATTTGGCTATACCATTCTACATCAATACCTTGATATTTAGAAAAACTGATTTCTGTAAGAGTAAAAAATTAGAGAATAGATTCAGAGCGAATAAGGCTCCAATGAATATAAAACATAAATCCAGCTGTAATGGCCAAAGAAAATATAATGCATAATTTTATTCTTAGTATCTTACAATCTGACCATTGTAAATATATTTGGAAGTGAACATAAGGTCAGGGAGTCATGTTCAACTTTATTAACCGTAACCAACAGTATTTAAAAATGTCAATATCAACAGATTGACCACTTTTATATCGGTAGCATATTACGATAGAAAAACGGCATCTTTCAGATTTTTCTTGACAAAGGGGGTGCTCTGCTGCGTCATGGAAGCTTCTACCCTGGATTCCTGGTGGGCCATTTCCACGATTCTGCTGAGTGGATTAGGTCTGCTGTACCTACGCCGGTATTTCACAAACAATCACGACTACTGGAAGAAGAGATGTGTTCCTTACGCGAAACCCGTACCACTATTCGGGAATCTCTTAGATACAGTGCTGGCCAAAAAGTCATTAGGCGAAAACTTTCAAGACATCTACTGGTAAGCAGCAGTTGACATTAATCCCATTGTAACGAGGGCCATGTGGTCTGAAACAGTGTGACGCACTGGATATGCGTTCGATGCGAATTCTAATAATTCAATTCTTGCAATCATTTAATTACAGGCAAGCATTAAGACCCTAGACACAAAAACGCAATGTATAAAATTTATAAATACACAAAAGAAATAAACCTAAGAGAGTGATAAAAGAACAAGTAACACAAAACATTACTAAGATTCACACAGGGGCATAAATAGCCTGAACATTGTAATTAATTACAAATATAATAAGCGTGTGACTATAATTTCAGGAAGCTGGATGGATACAAGTACGGTGGCGCTTTCAAATTTGGTCAACCGATGTTGATGGTTCGAGACCCTGAGCTCGTCAAGAATGTGCTCGTCAAAGATTTCATGAGTTTTCATGACAACAACGTCAAAATAAGCGTCGACAGAGACCCGATGTTTGGCCGCAATCCTTTCGTTCTGCGAGGCGAGAAGTAAGTGGTCTCTGTCTTTAAAAGCTGGTAGTAGCTTAGCTAGTAAAGAAATTGTCGGCTTCTTTTAAAATCTCTCAGCTCAACTGCCATATTCAGAACAGCCCGCCATTGGACTCTATTCTGAACTAATTCATTAAGATCTAATTCAGTATTATCTCTCTATATCTCATCTTCTTGAAACAGAAGTTCGTCCGAACCAATACTTAAAAATTCAGTTCCTACCTAAAAGAAAACACAACTTTTCCTTTTCAAAGATCATCTGGTTAATGCAATTTACTCTGAGAATCATATGAGACCCATAAATACATCTGTTGTACTGTCTGTCAGGTGGAAGGCGACAAGATCGAAACTGGTTCCTGCTTTCACAGTGGCGAAGCTGAAACCACTGTTTCCTCTGGTCGAAGAGGTGTGTCAGGAGCTGAAGGAGTACATCGACGACAACAGACACACAGGTATTGGTGTAGAGCTCTTCTTCTGGGAGAGCAAACAACACTTCACAAATGAATAACTGGTTCTTGGTTTGATTGAACCCAATTGTGATTTTTAAATAACTAAGTTCCACGACGACCAAATTATCACTTTTTGCGTTGGAAAGGATGTGAAAAGAGGCGGCTGTCATCTTATTTAAGGTGTTCTACTGGCTATAGCATTGAGGGATTGAAGAAAATCATAAAAAAATTAAATTCATGTAGCCAGCTTTTAGGTGAAAATTCGAACATTCGAAACGTCTGGCATTCAAGTTATTTTGACTAACGCAGTTGACTACTGGAGTTTCTGTATTTGGATTTGTTTTGTTCGAATAAATTAACAATCAGTATAGGCTAGAATCTTGTATTTTATACTCAGTTCCATTACATTCTCATAAATTAAAATAACAAAGAAAAGTTTTCATGGTAAAATTCTGTTTAAGAACTATATGTAAGAAGGTTGACTGTTCACCATTATGGCCGTTTCTCAAAGATTTCTTTCATGCGTCCGCAGGTGAATTTGAAACCAAGGAACTGTGCGCCAGGTTCATGACAAATGTTGTGGCCACTTGTGCCTTCGGAGTCAATGGAAACGCCATTAAGAATCCTGAAAGCGAATTCCGACGTATGGGTCGTAATATGATAGAACCGAATTATTGGAAGAATGTGAAGATTACGATAATATTACTAGTACCGTGGATTGCTGATTTATTCAATTTGAGGTGAGGGTACATTTGTTCCATAGTAACCTATGATGACAATGAGTAGGAAGTTGTAGTTAATTATTACTAAATATTTTATTACAAATGTCATCAACTTTAAAGCTAAGCTTCTAAGAATTTAAGCTTTGCTTTCAGAAACCCACGATTATATATGAGAAGCAGATATTAAACAAGAAGCAATAATCAGAGCTTCTGTAGCAGACAACTCCTCATATAAGGCTCAACATGTATTTGTAGTTTCTAAAATATCTATATTCAGGGGCCTCAGTGGTTGGGAATAACCTGAGATATCATCTTTTCATTGTTATAGAGAAGTTACATCTATTGTCGAAGATACATAGAACTTTGCCTCCATACTCCCACAAACGCATTCATGACTTGGTGTTCAACCACAGGGAAAAATTTGGTTTTACCTTCATATTTATCCTTTGTGTTGTGATTTAAAATTCCTGCTTGGACTTGATAGAACAAAGGCGTTTATTAACAGACTCATTCTTCGGTCAGCGTGGACAGTGGTCAGTACGTTGACAGTAATATGAGACTGCTAATAAGTTACTGGCAATCAGAAAAAATTGTTAGAAATGAACACAGAACAAGGGAGATCGTATTGTAATTAAATGAGTTATCCTAGTCACGTCGTCCATACTGTTCTATAACTACGAGGCGCGTCCCAAAAGTAAGTTTCCCACTCGTCCCACAGCTAGCAAACCTTATATTGAGCGAAGCGACTGTGCGTACGTGATAGAGCAATGACGTAGCATGGCGCATGCACTAACGGTACTTCCCGCGTTCTCACAGTAGCATCGTTGCAGCTGTTGAAGATGGAGGTTCTTATTCCAGCCCCCGCCGACTGTGAAGTGCGGTCAGTGATAAAGGTTTTGAATGCACAGAGCATAGCGCCGATCGAAATTCATCGTCAGCTGTGCCGGGTCTATGGGCCTAACGTCATGAGCAAGCAGATGGTGCGTCGCTGGTGCAGACAATTTTCAGCAGGTCGACAAAGTGTGCATGATGAGAAGCGCAGTGGGAGGCCATCCATCATTACAGACGACCTTGTGGAGCTTGTGCGGGAACGCATTATGGATAATCGTCGCTTCACAATTACGGAACTCAGCAGTCATTTCCCGCAGATTTCCCGCTCCTTGTTGCACAAAACCCAGGTATTCAAAAGTTGGTCCCACGGTATGACAAATGTCTCAATTCCGGTGGCGAATATGTTGAAAAATAGCTGGACACTTGCTGTATCTGTTGCAATAAATATTTCCATGAAATTGTGTTTTGTTTCTGTAAACGGCCCCAGGGAAACTTACTTTAAGGACGAGCCTCGTATTTTAACTTTTAAAATACACAAATGGCGCGCACAAGTAAAATTCGTTTTGTTTTACTTTCATTCTATTTAACACCACACAAGAACCATATTTTTGCTAGAGCTTCCTACCTTAATCCTTCAGATATTCTCGTCATAGGAGTGCTGCCAGAATACACAGTATAAAAATCAGAAGTGTTTCAAATGTGGGGACGAAGAAATCAATTGAAGTTTGTAAAATGGATTTGAAAGCATCCTGCCACCCTAACCCATTATTTTTTTTGCCTCGTGCGACAAACGAGACGTCACAAACTTTATAAGGAAACAAAACATAATGCAGTGATTCTAAACTATTGAACTCTGTAGCGAGCACAGGGTCACTATGTTGCAGGTTTATCACGAGGACTGTAGAGGACTTCTTCCGGCGCCTGGTAAAGGAAGTGGTTATGTACCGAGAACAAAACAAGGTGACTCGTGCCGACTACCTCCAGTATCTGATCAACCTCAAGAACAAGGAACTTGATGGCGACTCAATCAACGATCACGACTTCACGCCACAGAAGACAAGTAAGTGAAGTTACACAAGCCACATTTATTAAGTACAGTATGTATAAGGGCCATTACGAGCAAATGGACATTCAGATTTCGACAAAACCGGTCATAATCTTTAAACAACTAATTGCTTGGAGCAAATTGCTCAGCTAATAAAGATATTCTCAATTTTTTTTGAAATATTCTTCCATCCTGTCGCCCTTCTTAAGCTACAAGTCAAATTTTACTTTCTCTCTCTTTATAGTTCCTCTTCATAACTAAAGGTTCACTCCGCACTGCACAAATCGTGCTGAAATTTTTAAGTATATCCTTCCTTACTTTCTTACGCCTTTTAAACGTTCTCATTATCTGTTTATATGCAAAAGAGAGAATCATTCTAATATTATTTATATCTATACCCTTCCATCCTTGCAAATGTTCTGTCCAGTGCACATACAATTAAAACTGGCGACTTACTGTTGCCTTATCGCAAGGTATAATTTTCCCCATGTTCTCGCATTATTTTCTTCCTTCGATCCCTGGAGACGTGATAGCACGAATAATGAAGCAAGAGTGCACTGCGCGACGATTTTCTGTCTTCCACAGTTTTTACAGACGAGGACGTTGCAGCACAAGCGATTACATTTTTCGGAGATGGGTTCGAAACGTCATCAGCGGCTCTGAGCTTCTCATTGTACTGTCTGGCGATCAATCCTGACGTACAGAAGAGAGTTCGAGACGAAGTTGAGTCTGTGATGAAGAGACATGGAGGCAAACTAACTTTCGACGGTATCCAAGACATGACGTACCTCGATATGGCTTTAGCAGGTATGTTACATGGTTTGGTAGGCAATGTTATTTGCAAGAACAGTTTGTATCTGTCGAAGACAAAACGGACTGCGGTAATCTCCAAGAAGTTTCTCTTTGTCAACTTCATGAAAATATTAATCCGGCATTTCTTCTGACGCCTTTAACACCATTAATATATATATAAATTATTGGTGATTATCAGTGTGATATCAGTGGTGACATTCTAGAATATTATCACAACACCCACAGAACACAGTACAGACGCACTCACTACACGCTACTCTTAACTGCTTGATTTTTTCAGTCTGTGTATAGTAGTGTAAAACTCTGACGTATCACACATCCCACCAATAGCAGCCCTCTATAGCCCACTTGATAGTAAACATTCCCCCTGCACCACCCTAGAAACGACTTCCCCCCGCAGGGCTTTTCTCATGGTCTGTGGACAGTAGGTGGGTAGTAAGTAAGGAAAGCAAGTTATTTGATTTATACAATAATGTCGTTCCCTTGTCCAACAGAGGCTCTGCGTATGTACCCACCTGCCATGTTCATGATACGCGAGTGTACCAAGCCATTCAAACTAGAAACACCTTCAGGTGGTTCATACGAGATTGAAGTAGGGACTCCAGTGATTATCCCGGTGTATGCACTTCACTACGACCCTCAACACTTCCCTAATCCAAAGATCTTCAACCCAGATCGTTTCAGTTACGAGAACAAGAAAAGCCGACACAGATACATCTATCTGCCATTTGGTGAGGGTCCGAGGATCTGTTTACGTACGTACAAATTTGCTGTTATCCATGATAAGATATTTTATCTCCACAAATTACGAATGGGTCAAGCAAACACCACAGACCCATACATTAATTGTGCGCAAATGACTGCTTTCATGTCCATCTACCACGAATGTGAGATACATATTTATATGTATTAATATTAAATTATGTTTTAAATCTAGCTACGTGGTCGAAGTGACGCGGTAACGTTATTAAATGCTGTTAACTCGATGCAGATATCAGCACAATATCTTTAGGGCTCGCAAATTAATCATAAAAATGCTGTTTAACTTTTTCTACAAAACGAAGTATCTGACAAAAAACAAATGTTAGTTTTTATTAAGTTGGCTATTAAGGAAACCCTACCTTAGCTTCTGATATAGATTTGTAAGACAACCGAATAAAATTATTCTTAAAGGATAACTTGACACCTTGAAACTAAAAGCATGTGGCTTCTCTGGTACGTAACCTCTGTAACAATATTTTCGTGTGGGTGGAAAACGGATAACGAGCAACGAATAACCTGACTGTTGAAACGATGAAACATTGAAATGATTTATTATAACTGCACATTTTGATTAGTACTTCATTAACATGTACAAAAACCAAGCCACCAGAAGCACACTACTTAATCTGCTAAACAGATTCATGAAATGCAAACTTCTATACATCTCGTTTTGACTCAGATTCATGAAATGCAAACTTCTATACTTCTCTTTTTGACGCTCAAAACTGTCAAAACATTCAAGTTTCACTTGTTCAATTTCCACATGTGTGCAATATGCATTATTCAGAAATAGTATGTACTTAACATAGCTATTGCATGTGTTTTGATGAGAGGATTGTGGGCGTGGTGATTGTGTGTTCTTTCTGCAATTGACCAAGTGGTTCACGCATTGATGACGAAAATAACTTTTATTTTATTTAACGATGCTCTGTCAAATGCAGCTGAAACACAATCAGACCGAGTAATAACTTGATGACTTGAATACTGTCATGAAAATGATGTGGGAGAATGAGGCAATGGTCTGTTTCAATGTACAGGCAGAGAATTTATCCAGACTGATTGACGGAAAACACGAAGAACCTCAGTCAAGGTAACTGGTTCGGTTTACTATTATTATTTACAGCTATGAAACGCAATTATCATGTGTGGCCACAATTAAAATATCGTCAAGATTAATTTTAGATGGCCATGTGCCTGTAATTATAGATAGGCCAATTCAACACAGTAATGCACATTATATTGAAAGCTTTGTAATTTTTCTGCAGCTATGACTTAATTCTTGATATGACAATGGATAGGATACGCAGTCTTTCATTATTACTATTATTAGCATAATTAATACCGGTATCGCTTTGTCGTGATTGTATTGTTAAGAGAATGGAATGTCGGAGGACAAGATGGACTGGGATGTTTTTAAAACAGGGGAGACAATTATGACAACTGAATTCTGGTGGGAAACGTCTTACGAAACCTTCCAAATGGACGACAGAGAATAAAGTAGAAGGATAATATTAAGATGGATATTAAGGTGAATTGTGATAATAGAAGGATAATATTAAGATGGATATTAACGTAAATTGTGATAAAGGGGAGTGAGAGAAGTATTTGGTATCGGAGGTACTGAATTGGGGTTCGCAGTGGCTGCGCTGTCTAAGACGTGGGCCTTGTGCCGCTTGGTCACTGGGACCGTGGGTTCGACTCCCACTAAAGCCATGGATGTCTGTCAGCGTTTTTCTGTGTTGTGCTGTCCTGTGTACAGGTAGAGGCCTTGCGACGGGCCGATCCCTCGTCCAAGGAGTCCTACCGAATGTCTATAGATCAAGCCAACGAAAAGTTGGGACCCGCAGTGCTCAGGCACTTGAAGAACGGGTCGTTCCCTGTACCCAGTACCCAGGTACTGAATCATCGGGTTCTGTTTATGAGTCGGTACTGCTGCTGCTACTACCATCCGACTTCTGATATTTTTTGACAGGTGTCAGGTTCGCACTAATGCAGGTGAAAGCAGGAATTGCTGCTCTAATATCGAACTTCGAGATTCGGCCGACAAAACGTACGCCAGTACCACTTACCCCCAATCCGAACTACATACTCCTTGCTGCCAAGGGCGGACTTTGGCTTCAGTTCGTGAAGCTCGAGTAACATCAAGTATCACCTGTGAGATGAAGATAAGGTAAAGGGTCCCGTTTCTGGTTACAATTTCCCCACCCCCGCAAATTGAAAAGTTTATGTTTGATCTGAAACTTTCACGGAGACTATAATGAATTCTTCTCGGGGATACCGGCTGTGGTACTACTACATGAAAGAGGCCTGTAATTCGTAAAAAAATTCTACACAGCCCGCAAATATCTCAGGCTGACCGTGCATAAAATGTAACGGGAAAAACCTCCAAGAAACATCATGTTTCTTTCTTACGTTGGCCCATTTTATGATGTTTGAAATTAGGAGTACCATCAGTGACTTTTATACGGGCAATCACAGGACTGAAACGTATCCTAACTTGTAGCAGCTTTGTGAATACACATGTTCGCATTCGGATCATACGTAACAAGAGATGGGTCAAATATATTACTCTTGATAATACACACTATCCTCATGAATCCTAATTGCAGTCAATAAACATTTCCTTCTAGCGTCATCACCATTGGTTCATGGCCTTGACCTCAAAATGCTAGCTCTAATCTAGAGAATTATGTAATCGGTTACAGTAACTACAGTGTGTGGATATTGCCGATTAAAGATTCGGTGGATCCGGATTGAACAGAAACGATTCTAATAGGACGGAACAGGCACTTAAATTCAATCCAAAGAATTTATATTGATAAATGGGAGTCTATGAACACATAACAAGGGAGATATGAGGTTCTCACGGCAGCGAAGATGTACACTGGGGTCTTTCGGTTTGTGATGTCATGTAAACATGTACATGAGTATGGACTGAAAATGGCGGCAATATGTTCCTCCGAAACACTGGTCCCACCTACAAGCCGAGACGACGCCACAGCTGAGAAGATTACCATGAACACATAAGGACGAACAGCAAAAGTCTCCGGGAAGATGTTTTACAGTACGCTTACATAATAATAAGTAGAGAAGCAGACTTAGGAAGAAGGCATAAATGTTATTTTTTTAAATATTTTTCATATTGTTAGAATAAGCCCATGGTGGTCACTCATATGAATATGATTCGATTCAGTTTTTCATGTACCTGACAACAGCCAAGCACTAAAACCAACAGTACAAGAACAAATACTATAAAATGAGAGAACAAGACATAACATTCAAATCAAATGCACAATACGAAAGTCACAGAAGATGGACAAGAGTGTTGTAAAATGTCTGTCAGAGAAATATAATACTTGTTAAATGTGAATGGTAGCAACAATAATAATCACAGTAATTAGCCTATAAACACACAGTTGTCAGTGCACATAATCAATAGCGTAAATTAGTGTTCAGTAGCAATTTTGTACTTACTGTGGACTTCTGTGATGAATGGTGAAGAAAGAAAGGTCGACCTACTTTAACTTTACTACGTAGCGGCGAACAGGATTACAAATGCACTTAATTTTTGTTGCCAGTAAACGCGAAAGGCTGTATACTCGTCTAATCCTATCGGATAGTCAGAAGTCGTAAGGGAAAACTAATAATCCTGCGGCCTATAATGAAAGAATTTTGAAGTTTGCAAGGAAGACCTCTTCACCTCTTTAAATCTTCCGTGCATTTTTTTGTTGACTTCCCACATTCTTCAAGAATCTCTTGACCTTGTATGTCAAACTCGGTTATTAATCAAAGTTCTTCAAACCACGTCGAATACTTTTTGCACAGAATGGGTTACACCCCAATTAACAGAGGTATCCGTCTACAGTTCTAGCTATCATCATGATACTGACCGAAATCTCAAGGGCTATAGGCATCGTTAGCTCTTCCAATAATTCTTTGCCACACACAGCTGATTTCACTGACAATGGCAGGGATCAAAGCCGGGACTTACAGATATTTACAATTTTTCTAGCCGTTATTTGAGTGTACAATAACAACCAAAAGGGAGTAGACGCTATTCTTGAGATATCGTGTACATTTATTATTTAGTGTTCTGTCTTACGACAGGTCCATTGCTCTGCCCAAAAAGAGCTCTCCAGTTGTCCCTATTCTCGGCTTCTCGCTTTAATTCCTGGAACGTCATCTTCTTTCCTTGTTTAAGGTCGTCGGTTAGCTGTATCAATCTTCTTCCTAGTCCTTTCTTTCCTTCAACCTGGCCTTCGGTGATATCACTCAGTAATCCATTTCTTCTCATAATATGTCCCAGCCAGTTGTTAGCTTTCCTTCGTGTAATCGCCTGCAGAATGATTCTTTGCTCTTTGACTCTCCTCAATACTTCTTCGTTGGTCACTCGATCCGTCCACCTGATCTTCTCTATTCTTCTCCAACACCACATTTCAAAACTCTCCAGGTATTTCTGTTCCTTCTTCCTGAGTGTCCAAGTCTCTGCTCCATACGTAACACTTCACTAGTTTCTTCTTCATCTCCAAGCCCAACTTGCTAGTGAGAAGTATCCTCTTCTTGACGAAGGCTGCCTTGGCCATGGCTATCCTTGCTTTTACTTCCTTGGTGCATAGAGCATCCGTCGTGATTATGCTTCCCGTGTACACTATATTAAATATAAGTCACACGAAAAACAATGTCTCACTTGTCTGTCTGTCGATGTTGATCTGAGTTGCAACGCCATGTGAGATTGTACGTAGAAACCAACGTTCGGACGAACAAACTGCCTCTACCTTCAGGGCTACAAGACCACACGGTGTAACAATCAATAAGACCAACATTGATGTCTTTTCCACCGTAATAACCACAAATCTGAAATCAAATTCATTGTCTAGTAGCTGCAACTGAAATATATGAGTCCCACGCAACTCGGGACCCACGTACTAGCATGCCACGGCTACGTTCCGCGTTGTGACTGACTTATTTCCCGGTAGTTCAGTCGCTGTTGCTACGGCATTTCGTAGCTCCGGGTCCACTTTAACTGGGACATTCTGTACAACAACATAATCCACCAAAGATCGGCAGTGAGTTTATTTCGCCATTACAAAGTTGTAAGTTTTATTACTCTAAAAACTGTTTACAAGAAACGAGCACGTCGTTTTAAACATTTGCAGACGTCTGGGTGTCAATGTTCAAATATTCGCTACTGAATCCTTACCAGTGACCCTGACATTTTATTCCTCAGGGAGTAGGGGTTAGAATGATTATCCTATGGCCGACATGCATAGAGTGAAGCCATCTCGGTCGATTGCCAAGCACTGTAGTTGGAAGAACAGGGCAGTGTCAGCAGGCCGAACGCCTATACAACATAATAAGAAATCGCGTGGTCAGTCAACGAGAGAGAGGAATCTCAAGTTCCCTGCAACGCAGTAAGCAAATTGGGCTAGTGAGTTAACACGCAAAGAATTGAATTACTTAATTATTATTGTTATTACAAAATAGGCATGATAGCGTCTTGTTATAAAGCAGAACAGAGAAATAATATGAAGGGGAGTAGGTAATAAATGAATAGAAAATGTGTCAAAAGATTTTGGAAAGACAGTGACAAAACATACTTACATTCACGAGACAATTAAGAAGATATTAAAATCGGGGACTGCATGATAGCATTTGTAGCTCAAAAGCTTCCACTGCCTATCTAAAAACGCCAGAGGTTACAATTTGCAACAACAGTGAAATTATATGCGTTTTTCATGTATGCGCAGATCAATGGCGTCTACGAACAAAGTCGGGAGTAAAAGAGGACTTAATAGGAAGATGGAGAAAATTACATTATGACGAGTTTCATGACTTTGTGATCTTCACCAAACGTTATTGATGTAACAACATCAAGGGGAATGAGTTAGGCGAGACATGCAGTACGCACTGGATAAAATACTATCTGCAACAAACATGCTGTTTATAATAAGAGCGTATCAGTAATTACAATGTGTTAATTTTGTTAGTCAAAGTCATCTACCTTAACCAACAATCAACATCGGAATTCAGCCCCTTCGTCCTGATCATTTGGACAGCTTTCTTCCCCCCAAGTGTTAATAAAATAACCTGTCTATTTCTGCTAATTAACATTTTACAGAAATATGCCTATTTATAGTTAGATTTTACAGAAACGGCAATATTTTTAAAAAGTGATTGGCGTAAATATTAATTGTCAGAAACGATTTCGTGAGTATTTAGTCATTTAAATTTTATGACAGTCATAATTTCAGAATTTGTTAAAAATACAATTTTAAATTTCTAACATTGTTTTGACTATGCCCTTTCAGTAAGTTGTGTGACAGAATACAGAACAAACACTTCCAAAGAAGAAAGGCTCTTAAGATGAGCTACGTTAACTTCTATTCCTTATAGGTCAACTAACGAGATGGACGTCCCCTTCCTGGGTTGCTGGTGGGCCACTGCCGCACTTCTGCTGGGCGGTGTGCTGTATGTGTATTTGAAGCGCACACACAACTACTGGCGGAAAAGAGGTGTTCCTTACGTGAAACCTCTACTTCTGTTTGGGAACCTCAAAGATGCAATGCTGGGCCAGAAGAATCTCGGCGAAGTCTACCAGGACCTTTACTGGTAACAGTGTTTGTCTGTAAGAATGTGAATTTGCTTCGAGACATCACGTCGTCAATACAGCCTTCTTTGTCCTAGAAGCTAGTTTATTTTCGACTTTCTATGCTTAAAATCCTCACAAGTTGCATAATGATAAAAGACAATAGCAAACTGATGTGAATGTATAATCCTAGTAA